TCTTTGTCCTCGACTTATTTTCTTCTTCGATCAGTATATTTTTTACGATAATTTTGCGCTCGGTATCATTCGAGATATCTCATTCCTTTTTTTTTCCTTTCCTCTTTACTTTTCTTTCTTTCTTCCTTTTTTTTCGTTATATTATTTTATTTTTACGTTTTCTTCGAAATCCATTTCTTCGCGTGTCTTGTTCATTCATTTTTCCTTTATTTTTCTTTTTTTTTTTCCTTTTTTTTCTTTTTTTTTTTTTTTTTTTTTTTCATTCGTTTCGCTCGTTTCGTTTTTTTCTCTCCCTTTTTTTTCTTTGATTTCTTTTCTTTCTCCTTCTTTTTCTTTCCTGTTTTCTTTTTTCTTCATTTCTTCGATAATTTTCTCATCTCGTAATTTTTCTTTTCTGTCTCTTTTCTGTTTTTCTTTTTCTCTTTTTGGCTTTTTTTTTTTTTTTTTTCTCCTTTTTTTCGTTCAATTCATTCGACACAATTCGCGCGCACAAATTTGCAAAATTCTTTCTCCGTTCGTTTTCGTGCAAATTTTGTTTTTTTTTGTATTCTTTTTTTTTGTATTTTCTGTTTGTTGGCCTCTTAAAAAGAATTTGCAGATTTTCTTTTCGTTTTTCTTTCCAATTTCATTGTTTCTTTCTAATTGTTGTTCTTATGTCCTGCAGAAATTCTCATTATGTGTTTTAAAATCTTCTCGATTTCGTTTTCGAATTTTTGTCCTTTTTACTCTTTACTTGATTATATTTTAGATGCCTTTGTTTTCGTTTAATTCGATTTTTTGCTTCTTGTGACAATTTGCAAATATTCTTTTTTTTCCTTTTATGCTTTTCTTCTAATTTAACTCTCGAACTTAATCATTTTTTTTTTTTTCTTTGTTTTATCAAGATTTCACGATTTAATCCGTCTAATTCGACTTTCTACTGGATGCAAATTTTCAATATTTTTTTTATACTTCTTATTCCTTTTTTTTTTTTTATTTTCAACTAATTCGTACTTCTGTTTCCATACAAATTGTCGTCGTTCTTTTTTTTTTTCTATACTTCATCATCGTACGAAAATTCGATGCAAAACTTTATCCTTATTTTTTGTTTTTTTTTTCTGCTATCGTCTAATAATTCCTACAAGGAAGAAATTAAAAAAAAAAAAAAAGAAAAAAAAAAGAAAAAAGAGACGAACAAAAGATAGATAATAAATAAAAAGAAAGAGATTTTCTAAATGATCCAATGTAAAAAAAAAAAGGCCATTAGAAGGCTTAGACATTATTTCTCATAGAAGAAATAGGAGAATGCGGTTAATGCGCGAAAGTTCCGAACCAGTTAGAAGACGACGATTGCGATTGGACGCGGCAATGTTTGGCATCGTGCCGCTCTGTCATTACGCCGATCTTCCGACACAATGACACACGACTTTCGCCGTCATCGTGAACGGTGCTGTCGCGTCATGAAATTTACCTTTCCAACCGACCAATCTTCTCGACAAATTCGCGTAAACATTTGTCCTCTTTAAGATAGGAATCGTCTTCTCTTTCGACATAAAAAACAAAAAAAAAAAAAAAAAAAAAGAAGAAAGAAAAAACAAAATAAAGAAAAAAGATCGACTGTTTAATCACTCAAGATGATATAAAAGATATTTTTTTATCTTTCGTCCGTAGATAAATACAAAGAAATATTAGGATAAAGTCGTCGAATGTATATCTCGTCAATATATATATATATATATATTTTTTTTTTTATAAAATTGAATAAAAAATATCTTGATAATATTTATGTATGTAAGTATATATAAAAAGAATAATTAAAAATGAGGTTTATATATATATATATATGTTATACTCTTATAGATAATACTAATCTAATAATATGGCTTTATTTGAAACTTGGTATATATTATATATACCTAAATTATATATTTTTACATAGTTTATAATAAAAATTTTATATATATATATATTTTGCAAACTTTGAAAAAAAATTCTATATAACTTATATATTATCAAAAAAAAAAAAAAAAAAAAAAAAAAAAAAAAAAAAAAAAAAAAAGGGTCAAGTTAATAAATTCTTCTTCAATGTTATGAGAATGATTTTATTTTATTTAACGCTTATAAAATATATCATTAAAAAAAGAAAAAGAAAATGATCAAGTTAATAAATCCCTTCTTCAATGTTATAAAAAAATGATTTTATTTTATCATGTTCTAAGCACGTTTCACGAGTTAACGATACATTAGAGAATGCTAAATACGTGACATGCATCCAAAGCTCGCCATAACGTATACACATATAATATATATATACATATATATATATATATATATATACATATGTATGTATATATACATAGAAATAGAAGGATGAACGGACGAAGGAACGTGAGGTTAGAAAGAGATTTTTTTTTTACAAAGACGACAAATGTGCCTGCCTCACGCAATTCAGGTCTATGGAGGCTGTGCACGAAGGAGCATAAGGTTTCATCGTAAACAAGGCTTTAACTCGAGTTAAGGGATGTGAACGGATTTCTCTTGGGGCGCGATCCCATAGTTAGAATATCTTGGGTGTAGGTACAATCTATAGGCGGGTTTTGCAATTTGTTTTTATATGTGGCGGTAACGTTTATGAGAATAACTTCGTTCACGAGGATTTCCTAAATTCCCTATAAATTTGTTTCCAACAAATGTTCACTTCTTTCACTATTTCCTTTCGATTAAGCCTGCGATAATGGGTAGAATAAGTTTGAAAAAGTTAAAAATTAAGATGACTATAATTTGTTTCGAGAAGGTGATAAATAATTTAGATTGAAATAGAAGATTACTTTATGAGAATAAAAAAAAAGTCCTTTTTCTTTTCTTTTTTTTTGGGGGGGGGGGAAGGGCAAATCAAAGAACAAAGAAAAAGAAAATGAGATTTTTTTTTTTTTATGGGAAATTCATATTTTATAAGTTATATATATATATATATTTCGAACGTAGTATAAAAATCAGTCTTCATCTAAACTATTTACTATCCTATAATCTAATATCTAATATCTAATATCTATCTTAAAAAATAAAAAAATAAAAAAAAGGAAATAATTAATAGTAGTAACAATAATTAAATAAAATAAAATGAATGGCGTGCGTCGATATGTAAAAGCTTAAAATTTAAAGTTGTAAAAAAAGAAAATGGAAAAGAAAAATAATCACAAAAAATAAGACGAAACAAGGAAACAAAGAAGAGAACGTATATTCGACAAATTCGTTCGATCGTCACAAATATATTTAATTAACAATTAAAACAAATCGATCGTCTCTTTCAAATGAATTGAATCGTTTCATAAGAAACGATCTTACGATTTTTAAAGTTGTTCGCAGAAGGAAAGGGTGATGTGTGATGAAACGAAAAGAGCGTTAGGATTATGAGGTCAGATAAAAAGTAACAAGAGGATCGAATCGATTGATAGTAAATAATACAAAAAAAATTTATAAAAATTTATAGAAAGGCGATATGTCTGGAGGAAAGAAGGGGCGGAGCAGGCTAAAGGCAAGTTTAAGGGTTTAAGGGATAAAGGATAAGGGAAGGTGAGGACGAGATTGCTAAAGGAGAAAGGTGTTCATAAAGGAAAGAGGAAAAATTCGCTTTCGAGTTGCGACGCGGATTTACGTTCGCCACTTCTCGTATGAACGATCATTAATCTTTCTGGCGTTAGTCAGATCTCGATCCTCCCGTCTGGGATTCAGTTTCAGCTATCGTTTCTTAGATCACTCGTCCAAGGACGCTTCTCCTTCGGCAAAGGAGTTACCTTTGCAAGTATATATACATATACATATACATATACATACATACACACACACATACACACACACATACATATATACGATATATATAAGTTCACATAAGACACAAATACATATATATAGACACATACAGATGTAGGACGAGACACGCGGCTAAGATCCTCGATTACTCCGTTCGAGTACCGCGGTGCGATCTTTCTTGATCCTCGATGTGAACTGACGGATCGATTTCATTATCCTTCCTGAGCGAGCTCGTAGATCTTTTCTCTCTTTCTATTCCTTCTCTTCATTCTATCGTCTATATACTTCTTCCTCGTTTATACAGATAAAGAAAGGAAGAACGAGAGAGAGAGAGAAAGAGACAGAGAGGGAAAGAGAGATTAGGTACATACATTGATAGTGATTCTTCAGGAATGAACCGCCATATCATTCGTCAAGGCGTCAAGAATAATCTCGTTCTACTCTGTTGCAGATTTCCTTTACCGGCACAGCGTTACCATCGATAACGTTACTACCGAGGTGGAGATACTGGACACTTCCAGGTGCGAGGTGAGTGAGTTTCCGCTAGTTCCTTTATATATTTTCTTTTTTCTTTTTTTCTTTTTTTTTTTTTTTTGTTCTTCATTCTTTCGTTTTAAAAACGTCTCTTATCTAAATCAGTTATATATATATATATATATATATATATATATATATATGCATCTATAGGTATATATTTATCTGATTTTATATTTTCATTACCAATCCCCTCACCCTCACCATCCTCCTACCCCTCGTGACCATTGTATTCAATTATCCATTCGAAAATTCACGACGCTAGTGAAAAATGAAATTTTTTCAATTTTTTCATATTTTTTTTTTTTTGTTCTACGAGGCAGTAGTTCGATCAATTTTTTTTTTTATGATCTTACGACGAAATAGATCCAGGAAATATGGATCCTTAACGAACTATGATCTTTCGATAGAAATGAAAAGAAAAGAAAAATGGCCGTACGGTTTTAATACTTATCGCGGAGGAATTTGTTTGAATGGTTTTTAAAAAAGGAGAAGGAACGAAACGAAAACAGAAATAAAGGAAAAAAAAAAGAAAAGAAAAGAAAGAAAAGAGAAGTAACCAAAAATAATTAGAAACAAAAAAAAAAGAGAAAGAAACGTAAAGTTTCGTAATGGGAAATCGTTACCCTGCCCTCCCTCAATCCTCCCTCTTCCCTCCACGAAAGTCGAAGTGACACAGCTATTCGTGTATGTGATTGTACATAATTAATTTTATCAATTAAATAAATTCAAAAAAATCGGAATTATGTCTTATTTCGATAATTAAATATACAGAAACAGAATTGGTAGATATTCTTCGGTCTGGCTTCATGAAAATGATCAGATTGAAAAAAAGAGAGAGAAGAAAAATAAAGAAGGACGTAATTACGAAGATGAATTCGTAGATACACACACACACACACACACACACACACACACACACACATATATATATATATAGTGAATGAAGTAATACAAGTTTGGGGAGTGGATGTCCACACGATTCGAGGTGCACCGACCTCGAAAAAGTCCGGTACTACGAGTCTCGTAAACTCTCTCTCTCTCTCTTTCTCTCTCTCTCTCTCTTTCTTTTTAAGAGACGAATTCAGCTCACATCTTGGTACCTGACGTGGTAAGATCTCTTTCTCTCTCTCTCTCTCTCTCTCTTTCTCTCCGTCTCTCTTTTTCTTTTTTCTCTCTTTTTGCAGACTCGCAGTCTAAATATATCTTCTTTCAACGGTCTTGAAGAAGCATGTGGAGTGAGAAAGAAAAAGAGAGAGAGAGAGAGAGAGAGGAGTAGTAGTAGTAGTGGTAGTTGTGATGGTGGGGGAACTCGAAAGGGCCCTTAAGGGTCCAACGTCCGTCATATGGCCAAGCGTGCAGAGCGAAATAACGAGCACAAGATGCACGTGAATCGAAGTACATATATGTAAGACGGACAGACAGACAGAAGGAGAGAAAAAGAGAAAGAGAGATAGAGAGAGAGAGAGAGACCGAGAGATGGATAAAGAGATAGATAGATAAGAAGAAGGAGAGAAAGAGAGCAAGAAAGAGAGAGAGAGAGAGAGAGAAAGAGATACACTTTTTTCCTTTTTTTTCCCTTCTTCTTTCTTTTTTTATTCTTTCCTTTTTTTGTTTTTTTTTGTTTTTTTTTTGTTTTTGCTTTTGTTCTTGTTTTTTTTAGTTAACTTGGCACACGCGGTCGATTCTCCTTATTCCAGCAGGAGACACCATTTTCATCCTTGTCTCATCTTTTTCTTGTTCTTATTGTTTTTCTTCTTATTCCTGTTGTTGTTGTTGTTGTTGTTGTTCTTCTTCTTCTTCTTCTTCTTTTTTCTTCTTCTTTTTTCTTCTTTTTCTTATGTTTCTTTTTTTTCTTTTTCTTCTTCCACCTCGCAACTCGGTTGCTCTTGTGTCGCCTCCTCTCTTCTTACCTTTGCTACCTTCTTCTCTTCTTACCTTCCTATTCCCCCTCACCTCCCCCCCGCCCCCGCCCTCACTTTTCCCCTTCGGCGTCTTCTGGCTCCCGTTCGACTTCGTAAAACTCGATTATCGTTCAAGCTCCCAGGCAGCATTCGCTCCGAAAGAACTGGTCCGGACAGATTTATCGCGGGCGTATCCTCGATACTTACGTCGAGCCTAAGCGTTACATTTTTCATTATCGCCGAATCTATCATTTTTAATGGGAAACATATTTTGCATAATCCTTGTAAGCGCCGTCGTGCGGTCCGGTCGATCGTGTTCCATGATCGTTTCTACCTTCTTTCGATTTCATGTACGTATGGAGGACAATGTAATCCTGTGGAAAGAGAGAAATAAAGAGAAATAAAGAGAGAAAAAGACAGAGAGAGAGAGAGAGAGAGAGAGAGAGAGAAAATGTATACTAAAATTGCCTATACGAAAAAACAGAAAGGAAGAATATGATGAAAAAATAAAGAAAAAAAAATAGTCAGAATTATAATCGAGAGAAAATATAATTGAAGAAAAAAAAAAGGGGGAGAGAAAAAAGATTTAGTATATTAAAGTATAGCCATGTAAATGCGTCAGGGCAAAAAAGAGAAAAGATACAGAAAAATAATTTATGCTATAGAACAAAAAAAATTGTACTGCAATTGCAAACGTGTAATAACGGAAAGGAAGAATATTATGAACAAAAAAAAAAAAAAAGAAAAGAAAAAAGGAAAAAAAAACAATAAAAAAAAAAAAGAAAAACGAAAATAGAATTATCGAAGAAAACAAAAATATAATTAAAAAAAAAAAAATAGAGACAGGTAGGTAGATTAATGGATAGAGAAAGAGAGAAAACAAATTTAGTATATTAGAGTATAGTCATGTTAATACCATAGGACAAAAAGAGAAAAGAGGGATAGAGAAAAAAGATATTTTACTGCAACTGCACATATGTAAGAATAGAAAGGGATGAAAAAAAAAAGAAAAAGAAAAAGAAGAAAAATAAAAGAAATAAAATAGTCAGAATTATTGTTGAAAGAAAAAATAATAAAAAGAAAAAAAAAAAAAAAGAAAATATAGAGACAGGTAGGTGGATTAATGGATGGAGAAAAAGAGAAAATGGATTTGGTATATTAGAGTATAGCCATATTAATACCATAGGACAAAAATAGAAAAGAGAGATAAAGAAAAAAAATTTATATTATAAAAAAAAATGAAGAAAAGAAAAAAAAAGAAAAAAGAAAAAAAGAAAAAAAAATTGTACTACAACAGTATATAAAAATGTAAATACAATAGAATGAAATAATACGATATGAAACAAACATAATTAAAAATATGATAATTTAAGTTTTTTGTGTTAATTAAAATAATAACGATAGAAGAAAAATAATATGTATAATGACTGAAGAGATAAATCATTAACATTCGAATATCATCTGTCAGACTTTCGAAAGATAAAGGGAAAAAAAGAAAAAAAAAAAAAAGAAAAAAAGATAAATAAATAAAAAAAATTATGACGTGTAAAATTTAATGGGGCTGATCATGGACGTGGTAATGATAATAAGTCATAATAAGAGATACGTATTAACGATCTATAATTTCTGTTAAAAATGATATTAATGATCGTACGTAATCGAAATTGTCTCTCTTTTTCTCTCTCTCGCGCACACGCATACACACACACACACACACACACACACACATATATATGTATATTATTTCTGTATCTTTCTATCTAACGCGTATTCGGTAGCACTTACATATATTAGCGTCTTTAAGACGGTTGTAAATTATTCGTAATTGTGCTTCTACCTGGCGTTAAAATGTCCTTCTCGAGATTTTTCCATTTCTTTCTTCTTCATTATCTTTTTTATTTATATATTTATTTCTTTTCTTTCTCTCTCTCTCTCTCTCTCTCTCTCTCTCTCTCTCTCTCTCTCTCTCTCTCTTTCTCTTCTAACCTTTTTTTATTCTCGTAAGTTTCTAGAGGCGATTTTGACGCTCCTCGTGAAAGTCGTGATAAATTATTTCCTCGATCGTAGAACGTCGTGTTACGTCGATATGTACAGGATATAAATTATTATTGCTGTTCTATCGTATACCTCACGTGTCGATATAATATATTATAACGATATAGAGATTATGATCGAGATGTTTTGATAGTATTTATTTAATAGGGATTTATATATCGGAAGAATTGAAATTTTATATATATTTAATTTTTCCAGAAATAAAGATATAAATATTTTATTGAAAATATTATTATTTTTCTTTTCTTTTTTGTTCTTTTTTGTTCTTTTTTCTTTTTTTTTTTTTTTTTTTTTTTTTTTTTTTTTTTTTTTTTTTTTTTTTTTTTTTTTTTTTTTTTTTTTTTTTTGGAATTAAGTATATCGAACTTTCTATTTTTCTATTTTTGTTTTATTTCTTTTTATTTTTTTATTTTTTTTATAGATATAAATTTAATAATACAAATAACATTTAACTATCTATCAATAGTATAATAATATATCTATCTATCTATTTATATTATTAATAAATATATGGAATAAAAAAAATAGAATAATAACATATTAATAAATTACATATATATCTATTTTTAATAAATATAGTTTTTAATTTAAAATTTAAATTAATTTATTAAAATTTATTAAATTTTATTAAAAATTTTATTAATTTTATTTTATTAAAATTTATTAAAATTTATTAAAATTTAAATTTTAAATTTATTAAAATTTAAATATTGTTTTTAATAAATATAGATAAATTGTATAATTTAAATCTTGTATAACAAATGTTTAGCAATATATATATATATATATATATTATATAATGTATATATATTATAATAATACGTAGAATAATATTCTAAATATATATTATTATAATTATATAATAATAATAATAATAATAATAATAATAATAATAATAATAATAATAATAATAATAATGATTATAATAATGACAATAATAACAACAACAACAACAACAATATACAATTAAAATCAATTATTTATCTTTAATAAATATTCCATATGCGTAAATTGTATAATTTAAATCGGATCACAAAACACAGTTAGATATAACGATCTTCGAACTATATAAAGAAAGGAAAGAAGAAAGAGACAGAGAGAGAGAGAGAGAGAGAGAGAGAGACAGACAGACAGAAAAAGAGAGAGAGAGAGAGGTAGGAAATTTTTCAAGTAATTCGATCGTTCATGACAACGGCAATAATTTATTACGGGGAAGGAACAATAGGGTTTCCAACGTCGTCGCGTGGCAAAATAAAAAGGTATATTCATGTTGAGAATTCCAATGAGAAGGTACGACTTCTTCACCATCGGGGACAGGTGAAGCCACCGTGTTCGTTGTTGTCGTCGTCGTCGTCGTCGTCGACGTCGTCGACGTCGTGTACACGCCCGTTTCCTCGTCGAGTCTACGCCTTTCCCGCCATCATCGTTGTGCATCGCCTAGTTTCGAATTTTAAAGCCGATCGTTATTCAATTCAAATACATGAACTAACGGATCTAGCTATGTATAATACTTCGAAGAATCCGTACGCCATGATTTCCGCTGCACACGAAACTTTTTCAACGAACTTATTCGTTGCAATCTTACAACGAAGAAGAAATGATTTAAGGAAGGTCAAGTTGTGAACAAGAGCAAAACTTGATTTATGTAGATATATGAAGCTTATATGTATAATGTGCATATATAAAGGGTATTTCGAAATTATTTCGAAATTATCGATTTTATATATATATATATATATATATATATATATATATATATATGTATGTATGTATGTATGTATGTATTTGATCTTTACTTAGATCGTTGAGATCCATAGACGATCGTCGTATTATATTTAATCGTTTCGTTTATCTGATTTTATGAAATTTTTTATTATAATATATCGTAATATATCGTATGTGTGTGAATGTATGATGTAACATTATATATTTTATATAGATTATTAACAAACATACGTTTTTTTTTTTTATAAATTTAACAATTTTTTTTAATTATTAAAATACTATTAAAATAACGTAAATATGTGATCCACTAATTATTATTATTATTATTATTATTATTATTATTATTATTATTATTTATTCTACATTTCTATCTGTTATTTTAATGATATAAATTAATATATGCATGTACGATCGAAAGATTAAACATTGAAATAATTTAATATATAATTACATATATACGTGTATAACATATAAAATCGTGAAAAATGATCCATAAATTGATCATGAAAAAAAGTTTTCTCATTAATAAACTTTGTTTTCTTTTTTTTTTTTTTTCCTCATCCCATTAATAACACATACATACATAGAAGATAAATAAAATCCTTTTGTATTATTTTACATAGGTATACATAGACACCTACTCATACGCATACATATAAAAGTAGATTAAGTACGGTAATCTTTATTCGTTCGAAGCATCGAATGATGAAGAATTTGATGGGCCATTTTTAAAGGTATTAAGATTGATGTTCTTATGAAATCATTCGTGACAGAAGGGTCTCTAAGGTAAGACGAATCAAAAATTTCACTTCCCCTTTTTATTGTCGAAATCGGTAGCCAGCAGGTCTCATCTCTTCTTTTCCTTTTTCCCTTTTGAACAACGGACCCACCCCCTTACCCTCCCGCTCCTCATCATCGCTATCCATCGTTTTCTCTCTTTTTTTTTTTTTTTTCTTTTTACTTGGATATTTTCCAACATAGTACAATGTTGCATGCTTATCAAAAGCCACTGTCGTATATTCTTGTTGGGATTAACAAAAGGATAGAAGGTAGTCTTTGTTGGGTCTCTTATTCGACGCTCCCTATACCCAATCGTATTTTTTTTTATTTCTCCGTCATCATTCTTGCACGTCTTTTTTTGTTTCCCTTTTTCTTTTTTTTTTTTCTTTTTTTTTTTTTTTTCATACCTATCTAAAAAGAAAAAAAAAAAAGAAAAAGAAAAAGGCGATCCTCTTCGAAATTCTCTCTTTTATTTATTTATTTATTTTTCTTATCTAATGTCAATGAAAAAATTTTACAATAAGTTTACGACAAGTTTCTGTGAAGTTACTTTTTTTTTTATAGAATTATAAATAAATAATAGAAATCGATTGTGTATGAACGATAGAATATTTTTTAATAAAAATAAAAAAAATAAAAATAAAAGAAAAAAAGAATTGGTAATCTCTTGTTTGAAAGCGGTTTTATTTATTTATTTATGTTTTTTTTCTTTTTCTTTTTCTTTTTTTAAGGACATATCTTTCTTAGAGACTTATCTGGAATAGATCATCATTTGTGTAATATAATATTTTATTACTAATTTATATGTAAATACGTATGTATATACAAATATATATACTCTTATCTAGAGATATAATTATTAATGATTATATTAATAATTAAATATTTAAAATGGTATAATGTCTTTTAGGATTTGCATTATAAATAATTTATATAAAATAACAACAAATATGTAAATATATATATATATATAATTATTATTATTATATATAATATTCATCATAATTATTATTATATATATAATAATAATTATATATTTATATAATTATTATTAAATAAATAAATATATATATATGATCGTGATTTTCAGACGAAATGGACGAGTTGAAAATACAAGTATGAATTTTTTCAGGACTCACGGTCCTCCTCTATATTCGGTAGCTTTCGCGAGAGAGAGAGAGAGAGAGAAAGAAAGAGCGAGAGAGAGAGAGAGAGAGAGAGAGAGAGAGAATAAGGAGACGAGGCTGGTTCCTCGCGGGAGAGCCCAGGTTGTTTTTAGCAAACTGGTTTCTCTACCGTCGGCCTTACAATTACTGGCTTCCTTTTTTGCGCTCTGCCCTCCGAATGTTTGCACCTGTCGCTTAAAATGGTGCCCCCTGTTCGTATAGTTATCGACCGAAAACGTTATACCTGCTATAACAGGGATCCTATTCTAGGACCCTTTTTCTCCCTCCTCCCCTCCCCCCTTTCTCTCTCTCTTTCTCTCTTTTTTTTTTTTTCTTTTTTTCCCACCAAGACAATAATCCATCTTCTTCTTCGTCCATTATTTCTAGATTGTATTATCTTTTCAATGTGTTTTCTAATATTGGACAATGAAAAAAAAAAAAAGCATTTTGAAAACGATATATTGTTGTTATCATGATATTGTTAAATTTTATCTATGTCTTATACAAGTGCGAACGAATTTTTATAATCTTTTAACGAT